ATTTTTAAAGTAATTTGCTATTTTTTTTTAACGGAGACTGAACCTGAATTTTTGCTTACTTTGTTTTTTGTATTTAGGTACGAAAAATGAGCAATAACAAAAAAACCACCACCTCTAAAAACAAGAAAAATAAGACCCCCAACTATTCTAAATCAAAACGACAATACAAGCCAAGAGAATTTTTATCTTATAATGAGACCTGGGGAAAAATGTCAAAAGAAAACTTAGAGTGTGATAGGGACAATATGATAATGATTGGTTAAATCCTGGTCAGCGGGAGAAAATGTTAGATCAAATATAAACCCCACCAACCTAACCCGTTAAGGGTATTTTTTATTATATAATAAATATATATTATTTGTATATTATCGTTCTGGCAATAATTATTATGAAATAAAGAGAGGGGGTCCCGTGCCCTCGCTATTTTTTATTTTTACATACATCTGATCAAAACTGTAATATATAACTAAAGTGAATTATTTTTCTACGGAATGAATTTTTATTTGAAGAATTAGTATTATGTCATTATTAATATGCGCGAATTGAATAATAATGTTCTGATTTTGTATAAGTTTCACCGGTATTTAAATCATAATAATAACCTTCATCGTCATCAGAAAAACCACAGAAGCTCCCATCGTCCTTATCATCATCTTCGTTGTTATCATCGGAGAAATCTTTATTATCGTAATCATAGTTGGAATCTTCATCATTGGGTACACTCACCTGTATCTTGACTTCTGATTCATCAGAATCTCGATCATTACTTAACTTATCTCCCGAATTAGAAGTGTGAGACAATAGGATAGAGGAAGTGATTGTAGTAGTTACCTTTGTTTCTGAAAATTCTGAATCTTTATTTTCTTTTTTGCAAGAAATTTGCTGATCACTTCCTGAACTCGGTTCAGAGAATTCAGATTTTAGGGCGGATTCTATCTTAATACTATAATCAAATGGTAGTTATCTATAATATATTGAATATTTTTGTTTGTCATTTTTGAGATACTATCAGCGGAAAAGGAATGTATTTGATAAATTTTATCCATACCTATTGCACTGAAAAGTTTGTAGAGCTTTTTAGCCTTTTCGATTCTCTTCCATAAAAGTGCATCAGAAATATTTGCAGGGAGCTAAACACGAACTTCCTTATTTAAAATTCTACTAACTACATTAGATTCCGGATCAACTTGTTTTTCTGATGCTAATTTATTACGTCTTTGAATGAGAGCTTTACTAAAATTACAATAATATAAGATTGCTTCTTGGATTTTATGGTCAGCGAGAATTATAGCATTACAAAGTTTTTCGTATAAAAATGTAAAGCTATTATTGCTGGGTTGAGATTCTGTTTCATTCAAAGTTGTAGGTATCACATCATTGTCTGCATTACTAATAGATGAGCTAGAGTTTTTAGAAACTTCTGTCATGAATTTCTGTACTTTATTTTTACTAGATTGTGAAATATCTTTATTATATGATAAAGGATCTTGAAATCCAAGCTTCTTTTCTCTATTTTTCTCTCTTATTATATTATTAACTCTTTCCTTTTCTTTTACATCTAGAAATTCATCGATCACTTTATCCTCTAAAGATTTGTTTTCTATACAAATTGGTGATGTGGAGTATTGACGTGAACCAGCCTCTAGCTGAATCTTTGTCTCTTGACATACATTAAAATTTGAAGTATCGTCAGTTATATCAAATGCGGGAGTGTCTTCACGATTATAATTTGTTTCAGGGAGTATAGAAGAACGGTTATCCTTTACTTGGTATATATCAGAATCAGATGTTCGATACTCTACATCATCAGATGCGTTATCAGTATATCCATTGCCCCCGTTTTGCAAGCTTTGCTCCTTGATTAGTGAGACATCATGT